AAAAATTACTATTAGTAAAAATTACTATTAGTAAAAATTACTATTAGTAAAAATAACTATTAGTAAAAATTACTATTAGTAAAAATTACTATTAGTAAAAATTACTATTTGTAAAAAATAATTATTAGTAAAAATTAATTAACAAAATAAAAATTTAATTTTAATATATATATAATATATTATTAATTAGTAAATTATTTTATTGCACAAAAATTTTGCAAAAAAATTTAATTAATAATTTTTCATTGCATTTACTATGTATATTGTTAACTATAATTTTATATTTGACAGCGAAAAAAGTTTCATTTCTTTTTTTAAAATATATTATAAAATCCGATAATTACACGATTTATTGGTTTCTCTCTTAATAAAGAAGAATTAATTTCCTTTTATAATAGAGACATTGTACTTTGTATATTTATATATAGGACAGAAAGTTTATAATTTAGTTCATTACTTGTGAATCTTGTAACAGAATATTACATAAGTATTTACCGCATTATTATATTCTAAAGTTTTACACAATTGTAAATAGTTACATAAGTTTTTGAAAGCGGAGGAAGAAATTTCTCATTGTAATAGTTTTAATTCTGTTGTACAATCATTTTTTTTAAAATTATTTTAGAATTTTATTTTATGAATATAATAATGAGATAAAACATAATAATAATAACAATAATAATAATAATAATAATAATAATAATAATAATAATAATAATAATAATAATAATAATAATAATAATAATAATAATAATAATAATAATAGTAATCTATTATTTTTATTATTATCACTTTTTAATTTTATTTGTTTGATAATTAGTTATTTTTGATTGGCTCAAAAATCCATCAAGTAATTAAATAATTAATCTAATCAATTAACAGAATAATTAATTAATTGGCTATTTGAACGATTAAGGACTAATTCGACCAACGTTAATTAAAAGTTCATCAATGATTAAAGTCAGTTTAACGGCTCAGGATTGATTGATTGAGGATTTAATCATTATTGGTGAAACTGGCCCTAATAATTACACAACGAAATAATAATTAATTAACGTTAAATAATTAATTGCATAATTATCTAACTGAGTAATTAAATAAATAATTATTAATTATTAATATATCGTTAATTTAATAATTATATGTAATTAATTAATTCAATTATGCAATTATTTAATTCAATTATGTAATTAACTATAATTAAATAATTAATTAACAGAATAATTGTTATATGTATAATACTATTTTAATAATATTTATTACTTAATAATTGTCATTGAATAATAATTTAATATATTAAGTAATTAATTGTATAATTTATTGATAGAGTAATTTTGTAATTGATTAGTTAAATAATTATGTAACTGATTAATTGAATAATTTTGTAACTTATAATTTGGATACTTATTTGACTGATTGCTTAATTAATAAATTAATTATATAACTTATTAATTCAGTAATTTTTTAATTGATTAGTTAAATAATTATGTAACTTATTAATTGAATAATTATGAAACTGATTAATTTGTTTTGTTTTGAAAATTAATTTTTGTGGGTTAATATCATTTTTTTAATGTCAAAAAAAAAACAAAAAAAAACTCGTTTTATTCACTTCACAAAATTGACAAAAATTCCATTCCATATTTTTTATTTTTCTCACTTTTTCCTAATTTTCATCAAAAATATTTACTTTTTTCTTATCCTGCTAATAAATTGAATTCCTGCAATGAATTTTATTATTCATAAAAGAATTTAAAATATAGGTACGTATAAAAAATAATTTAATTCTTGCGAAAAATTTTATAACAATTTTTAAATAATTCATTTCTTTCGAATAATTTTATGCAAATTCCAATTTAAATAATTGAATTACTGAGAAATTTTTATTATTCATGAAAAGAATTGAGTTCTTACGAAAATTTTTACAAACCATTTTTTAAATAATTGAATTCTATTTGGAAATTTTATGAAAATAGTAGATATTGAAAATCATAGAATTGCGAAAAGTTTTTGAAGATAATTAAATTTTACAAAGAATTCTATTAAAAAATTTGTCAATAATTGAATGTCTGTGGGAAATTTTATTAATTTTTTTTTGAAAATAATTGAATTCCTAAAAAACATTTTATTATTTATGAAAATAATTGAATTCTTGCGAACGATTTATTAGAATTTTGCAAAATAATGGAATTTCCAAGAAGAAATTTATTACTTTTAAAAATAATTGAATTATTGTGATGAATATTGTTATTTATTAAAATAATTGAATTTTGAAAAGAATTTTATTAAAATACCTCAAAATAATTGAATTTTCAGGAGTAATTGTCTTATTCATCTTTAATAATTGAATTCTATCGAAAAATTATTTGTGTAAATAATTGAATTCTTAGAAAAAATTTTATTAAAATTTAAAAAAATAATTGAATTATTTCAAAAAATTTTAATTAAAATTGTATTTAAAACAATTAATTTGTTTCGAACAATTTTATTAAATTTTTGAAAATAATTATTCAATCCTTCCAAAAAATATTAAAAAACATTTTTTAAAATAATCCATTTTTTGAGGAATTGAAATTAAGTTTTTAAGAATAATTACATTTTTTGAGCAATAATTCCTGTAAAATTGTATTAAAAATTATTGAAATCCTGCTATGAATTTTATTATTTATCAAAATAATTGAATAGTTGCTAGGAATTTTATTATAATTCTCAAAAATAATTAAATTACAGAGAAGAATTTTATTATTTTTGAAAATAATTGAATTATTGCGGAAAAGTTTATTAAAATGTTTAAAAAGAATTGAATTTTTGTGAAAAATTGTATTATTTTTGAAAGTAATTGAATTCTTCATCAAAATTTTATGAACATTGTTTTAATTAATTAATTTTTTCGAAATATAATAAATATTATGAAAATTATATTAGTTTAAATAATATTGAATTCTTGTGGAAAACTTTATTTGTGAAAATAACTGAATTTTTCGATTATTAATTTAAAATAGTAATAAAAATAATTGAAATTCTTCGATGAGTTTTATTATTTATGAAAATAATTAAATTCATGCTTAGAATTTAATCAAAAACTTTTTTGAAAAAATTGAATTTTCATGAAAAATTTTATTATTAGTGAAAGTAATTGAATTATTGTGCAAAATAAATTGCATAAAATTTTGTTAAACAATTGATTTTTTCGAAATTTTTTTGGAAAATTAGCGAATTAAAAGTAGTGGAAATTCACTAAAAAAATATTATTTATATTCTTTGTTAAGAAAGTTGAATATATAATAATTTTTTTATCTTCTCTATTCTTCAGAATAATTAAATTTTTCGTAATAAAGATTATTTTTAATTTAGGTATCAAATAACAATTTTTTCGAAATTCAATTTTCCTCGTGCAATAGAAAGTTTAATTATTTTTAATTTTGAAAATCTGATGTCAAATTTGAAATTTTTTTATATATACTTTAAAGTTTAAAAATATAATATAATTTGAAAATTTAATTCTATTTTTTTTGTTGGCTAGTACATTAATAATATTTAGTAATAAATAATTATTAACTATTATAATTATAATTAAGAAGAAAGAAGCTATATTATAATTATAATTATAAAATTGTAATTGAATAATTATATGTAACTGAATAATTAATTAATTGACAAATTAGTCAACCGAATAATTTTTTAATCAACTACCTAATTGTTTAATTCACTGTAATATAATTTTGTTTTGCTAAACCACATTCTTTCTAATCGCATAAGAATTCTTTTGTTTTTCATTATCAACTGCACTTAATTAAAATTTTTCCCACTAATGAAAATAATTTCTCTGAACTAGTGATTCAAATAAACGGTATTTTAAATTTTTAATTAAACCCCCTCACTCACATTCTATTAGGTACTGAAATTGTGAGAAATGAGGAATTTCGTTTAGTTTATCTGTATAGTGGGAAAAAAGGGAAAAGAAAAAAAAGTGATGAATCATATATAAGCTTTTACTAGGAAAATACGTAGCACAGTTAGAAACGCAATATATAAGTTTCGGACCTAGGAGAATAAATGTAGAAGTGAGTATGGATTTTCGCTCTATATTTAGTGATGAAGTGGATTCTTTTCGGCTCATGGCAGATTGTAATGGTTTCGTGTTCATTCAATCGATTGCATACCCTAATTGTATATAAATATAGGTATTTAATTTCAGTGAAATTTCCACAAACTTTGATTATAAGAAATTCACGTAATCGTGATCTATTTCTTTGCAATAATTATATAAATATACACGTATCGTGTGGAAAATTTTGTTATTACAAGTTTAGAAATTCCTAATTATTATATTATTCAAACAAAATTTCTCTACATGATATTTTACTTTTATTAATTTTAATTATTTAACTAACGTGACTTATCAAAATTTTTTACTTTCGCCAATTAATTTTTTTACTTTTGCAAATTAATTTTTAGAATTCACTATATTTTATTGTTACTTTCGCTAGTTTATTTTTTACTGTAAAACTAATTAATTTTTTTACTGTAACTAATTAATTGTTTACTGTAAGTAATTAATTTTTTACTGAAACTGAATAAATTTTTTACTGTAACTAATTAATTATTTACTGTAACTATTTAATTGTTTACTGAAACTAATTGTTTACTGTATTTAATTAATTGTTTACTTAACTAATTAATTTTTACTGTAAGTAATTAATTATTTACTGAAACTATACTTAGTTGCTTACTGTAATTATTTTTATTTTATTTTTATTTATTTTTACCACAACTATTTTATTTTTACTTTCACTATTTTATTTTTCCCTGAACTAAATAACTTCTCACAGGTAACTAATTAATTGTTTACTGTAAAAAATTAATTTTTTACTCCAATTTTAACTTTTCAAATGCATAATATATATTATAACTTTTTGTGAGTAATTTATTAAAATTGTTTTTTCTTTTTTTTTAAAAAATTAATTTTATGCATAATTTTCTATTTTTGATAATTACAGGTGAATTCGTTACACATATTGGTGGGTTCCATGCTCCTTGGATTAGTGGGATTGGTCGTTGGACTCGTCCAATTGGCACCTGGAGCGGAAGCTGCACAATATTCCGCAGTTCTCATTGCAACTGGTTCCGGTTTACTAGTTCTAGGCATTTTATTGATTCCACTAAGATCAATATGCATCAGAAAACAGAAAGCCTCCCAAAAGGATGGCACTCATCAGCGAAGTGTCACCAGTATAGATATGCTTTTAGCTCAACACAGGTGAAATATTTTTTTTCTTCCCTTTTTTCACAAAATATTTTTTTCATTTTTTATTTATTTACTAATTTTTTTTTTTTGACTATTTCTTTATTTGTTATAACAAAAATAATACAGTAGTAAAAAATAAATATATTTCTTATTTTTGTTTATTTACTTTTTAACTTCTTTTTATTTTAAACTTTTTTATTTATTAATTCTTTTATTTACTAACTTCTTTATTTATTAACTTTTTAATTTATTAAATTCTTAATTTATTATTTTCTTAATTTCTTATTTTCTCTGTTTATTACTTTCTTTTATTATTATTTTTTTAATTTTTCATTTTATTTAGTCCTTAATTTATTTATTTATTTAAATTTACATTATTATTATTATTTTTAATTATTTATTAACAATTTACAGAGAAATTAAATTAAATTAATAAAATTAGCTGCACTGGAAAAAAAATTTATTTTATTCAAATATAACCGATTATTATCAATTAAATATTTCATTGAATCAAATAATATTTATTGGCAGTCAATTATTTTCAAAAATTTTCCTCAATTCAATAATTTTCAATATATACTATTTTAATAAAATTTTTCAAAAGATTTCAATTATTTAAAAAAAAAATGTTGATAAAATTCTAAGCAAACATTAAATTATTTTCATAAATAATAAAAATTTCACATGAATTCAATTATTTAAAACACAATTTTCATAAAATTCTTCTCAAGAATTCAATTATTTATAAAAAAAAAATTAAATAAAGTTCTTTGTAAGAATTCAATTACTTTTATAAATAATAAAGTTCTTTTTATAAATTCAATTATTTTCAAATGTAATAAAATTCTTCGCAGAAATTCAATTATGTTCAAAAAAATTTTTAAATTATCACGTCAAAATTTCAATTATCATTAAAAATAATAAAATTCTTCTCCAAAATTTAATTATTTTTAAAAATTTTGATAACATTCTTTGCAAAATTTCAATTACTTATTCAAAAATTTTCCTCAATTTCAAAAGATTTCAATTATTTGAAAAAAAGTGTTGATAAAATTCTAAGCAAACACTAAATTATTTTCATAAATAATGAAAATTTCACAGGAATTTAACTATTTACAAATTTTTTTTTTATAAATTTCTTGGCAATAATTCAATTATTTTCATAAATAATAAAATTTTTTACCGAGAGTATTCAATTATTTTTATAAAATATATAATTGAATTTTTACAACAAATTTTATTAATTTCTTAAAATAATTGAATTCATGTGAAAAATTTTATTACTTGCAAAAATAATAAAATTTTTTTTACCGAGATTCAATTATTTTCATAAATAAAAAAACTCATTATAGAATTTCAATTATTTTTCATACAATTTTAATCGAATTCCTCGAAAAATGTAATTGAAAATTTTATTAAAATTCGTTGAAAAAATTCAATTATATTCAAAAATTTGTTGCAATAAAATTCTTTATAAAGATTAAATTTTGATAAACATTCATTTATTCAAAAAACTCTTACAATTTTTTTAAATAATTGAATTCATTTAAAAAATTTGATTAAAATAGTAGATTTTCAAAAATATTTGAATTTCAGCGGAGAATTTCATTATTTGTGAAATGTGATTGAATTCTTGCAAGAAAATTTTGAAAATAATTACATTTTTCTAGAAATTTATTTAAAAATTGTATTAAAAATAATTGAAATCCTATGAGAAATTTTATTATTTATGAAAATATGTATGTAATTGAATTCCTACAACGAATTTTATTACATTTTTTTAAATAATTGAATTCATGGGAAAAATTTTATTACTTGCAAAAATAATTGAATTCTTGCGAAGGATTTTATTAAAATTTTTCTAAATAGTTTAATTTTTTGCTAAAAAATATTGTATGGAAATTTTTAATAATTTTTTATAATTATTTTTTATCTTCATGTTTTAAAAAATAATAATATTCTGATAAATTGTTAAATTTCATAAAGATTTGAATTTAAAATTTTTTTTTTGAAAATTTTAATTCCTATGGAATAATAATAATAATGATTAAAATATTTATTTAAAAATGAATTTATTCATGTTTTCGAATAATTTTTAGCAAAATTAATTATATTAGTAAAATTGAATTAAATTTGCAAAATTATAATTAAAAATGATTAAAATTAATTAAATTAGGGAAATTATAATTATAATTTAGTAAAACGAATTAAATTAGCGAAATTGTAATTAAATTACAGTAAAAAATTAATTATTCTCATCAAAATTAATTATATTAGTAAAATTGAATTAAATTTGCAAAATTATAATTAAAAATGATTAAAATTAATTAAATTAGGGGAAATTATAATTATAACTTGGTAAAACGAATTAAATTAGCGAAATTGTAATTAAATTACAGTAAAAAATTAATTATTCTTATCAAAATTAATTATATTAGTAAAATTGAATTAAATTTGGAAAATTATAATTAAATGAGTAAAATTAATTAAATTAGTAAAATTATAATTATAACTTAGTAAAATTAATTAAATCAACGACATTAATTAAATTACAGTAAAAAATTAATTATAATTAAAAAAAAAGTGTTTTTTTAGAGAATTTACTGTTTTGACGCCTGACGAATTAGAGAATCTCGTCGGCAGATCGACGTCAGCTTTGGAGAATAAAATACGGAAACAAGGACACAACACCTAGGCATCAATAAAGTCGAAGAGAGTCATGGCGTCATCACCATGTTCGACCACAGCCTCATCTTCGACATCACCTGGAACAAACTCGTCCATTCTCTACACACATCGTTGTGATTCGAGAGAGCACAGTCTTGTTTAGTCTATTATAATGAAAATAAGCTCTCAATCAATTATTTGAATCCAAAAAATTTTTTTGCGATTCATATCATTCTGGATTAAATAATAAACAATTTAATCCAGAATCATTATCATCAGTATCATCATCATCATCTCATTTTCTTTTTCGAAACAAAAACAAAACCAAGTAAGTAAACTCCAAATTAAAATTTTTTTTTCCAAATTCCTTAAAATTAATTTTTCAATTAACTTTTCTTTTTTTCTTTTTTTTTTTTTTTGTGACAAAAATTTAGAAATTAAGAATTTTCATTTAATTTTCGTTTGGAAAAAAAAATCTTTTTTCTTAAATTCCGAATTTTTGTTCATTTTGGAAAATTATCGTATATTTGAAACAGGGGATATGAAATCGAACCTTGTTTTGAATTTCTCGATTTGGAGGGATTTGAGGGAAGAAGGGAAAGAGAGGAAAAAGCAAAAAAAAGAGAGAGAGAGAGAGAGAAAGAGAGATTCTGTGCTTGGCAAGATTTTCAGAATCCAGGCGCTTCCTGTGTTCAAAAGTGCCTTTCTCCCATATTATAAATATATCTTCTTTTCGTTATCATCTAAAAAAATCATTAAGTAAAAAAAAAATTCAATCACAATTTTCATTGACATTAAAAAAAATCTCATCAGCGAAAATCGAAATCACATTTGACTTGAAATATCTTCAACCAAAGGAAGATATAACTATTAATTATTGTAAATGTCTAATAAACACACTGAAAGTAATTATCTTTAAGGCGATCAAAAAAAAAAATATTAAATATTTCTTCCCTGGAAAAAAAAGAAAAAGTTTTCTTTATTAGAAATTAAAAAAAACTCTCTTTAAAGAAAAATTAAATATTCCATTAAAATCACAAAAAAAATTTAAATTTATTTGAATCAAATAAATTGAGTGTAATAACAATAATGATAATTAAAATAAATTTATTTTTTTTATTTATTTACTTCCTAATTATTCTATTATTTGCTTTCTTTATTTACTATTTTTTATATTTTTCTTCATTCAAATTTTATTCTCTTTTAACCAAAAAATTTTTTAAAAGCAAAAATAAAAATGAAAAAAAATAAGTGACACTTGTTGCTTGTTACTTGCAGTGTGTTTTGAATGCCTCTTTTCTTCTGTGACCGTGAAGAATAACATAAATAAAAATAAAAATAAAAAAAATTAATATGTAAATTTTTGTAGCGCTCCACCGCTAGCGCCTAATAATAACTTCTTCTTTTTTTTTTGGCGAACACAATTTTTAAATGACGTAATCACGTCATCGTGTAATTGAAGAAAAAAAAAGAGAATATTAAGATTAGACTTTTCTAAGATTCGCGATAAGTTTATTAATAGAAACGCTAACGTGTCTCCTTGGCGCGAAAATAATATTATTATAGTACATACATATTAATACACTCGAATAAAAAGAACGTAATTCGATTATTTCCCCTGGAGAATATTCCGAAAAAATATAACGAATTTCAAAAAGAAAATGAAAAAATTTCGTATATTTGGAAGAAAAACGAAATTAGTTTTATATTTTTTTATTAAATGGTAAAAAAAATTTTGATAATTGTCTCAAGCAACTTTTTTATTAACGAAAAAAAAGTAAATGTTCATTTAAAAATTCATAGAATAATAATTTTTATTCTTAATTATTATTTATAATATTAGTGAGAGGAAAAAATTATTGTATCAAAAGAAAGACGTATTTTCGAGAGAGAAAAATTTTGCAAATTCGTCAAAAAAAAAAAAAAGGAATTAATAAATAAAATTCGGAAATTAGTGAATAAAATTAAAAAAGTATAATAAAAGTCAGAAATTAAATAAAATCCAAAAATTAAGAAAAAGTATTTAGAGATTAAGAAATAAAATTCAAAAAGTAATAAATAAAGTTCGGAAATTAAGAAATGAATGTCAGAAATTAAACAAAATTCAAGAATTAAAAAAAACTCAGAAATTAAGAAATAAAATTCAAAAAGTAATAAATAAAATTCGGAAATTAAGAAATGAAAGTCAGAAATTAAATAAAATTCAAAAATTAAAACATCAATGTCGGAAGTTTAAAAAAATGCAGAAATTAAAAAGTAAAGGTCAGAAATTAAGAAATAAAATTCTGAAATTAAGAAAAAGAACTCAGAAATTAAGAAATAAAATTTAAAAAGTTATAAATAAATTTCGGAAATTGAGAAACGAAAGTCAGAAATTAAATAAAATCCAGAAATTCAAACAAAAAAGTCAAAGGATAAAAAAATTCACAAATGAAAAAAAGAAAGTCAGAAATAAAAAAATAAAATACAGAAACTAAAAAATAAAATTGAAAAACTAATAAATAAAATTCGAAAATTCACAAATAAAATCGAAAAATTAAATAAAATTGAAAAAACTAATAAATAAAATTTGAAAATTCCTAAATAAAATCAAAAAATGAAATAAAATTGAAAAACTAATAAATAAAATTCGAAAATTCATAAATAAAATCGAAAAATGAAATAAAATTGAAAAACTAATAAATAAAATTCGAAAATAATAAATAAAATCGAATAATTAAATTCAATTAAAAAGCTAATAAATAAAATTCAAAAGTTAATAAACAAAATCGAAAAGTTGAATAAAATCGAAAAATTAAATAAAATGAATTAAAAAAAAAATTTTTTGTCTAAAAATACGTCTGTTTTTTGTTGCGATAAAAAAAATTGTTATAAATTTTTTAACACAAAAAATTATTACCATTAAAATATCATTTTTTTTTTGTATAAAATAAAAAAAAACAAGTGTCTCGTGTCCAGGGGTGAAACAAATTTTTTTATTTACAAATCAATGTGTTCCTAGACCCATAGAAATGTAAGTTTCATTAAGTCTGCCAATAATTAAGTCTGACCCGTGTTTTAGTGTGGACATGAAGACGCAAGTTTTTTATTCCTATTTTTTTTTTATTTTTTTTTTCCTTTTTTTTCTAAGTAAATATCAGTCAAATAATTTATAAGATAAAATTATATTCTCACCAAAATAACTTATAATAGTAATAATAATATAAAATATATTTATTAGTTGGAGAAGAATTTTCACAAATTTGATATATAAGAATATCATCATGATAAAAATCGCAGAAACATAATATATAATTCATATGGTGTAAATTATTATTAAAAAGAAAAATAATATGAATTGTAATTTGCATTATTCTCCTTAATGTATTTCACTCTCTAGAATTTTATATTATAATGTATATATTTATACACTGAACGAAATTGATTATCAATTTTTTTATTTATTTATAATTATGATAATTTCTTGATATTTATATTTATAATAATTAATAATTAAATAATTAAACGAACTTACCATAAGTGAAGTTCTATTATAATTGTATGAAGCGCCTCTTCTGAAATGATCAAATTGTAGTCCTCCCACTTGCCGCCAATTTTGCCACATTTTTTAACGTTTTTAAAAGAAACAAAATACTACCGACTCCCCTTCTCACGCGTTTCCCTTCAATTTTTTCATTTTTTAAAGCTCCGCCGGAATTGTACAGGGCACTGGGTTGAAAGTGAAACTCAAGGGTGGGACTGATCATTTCAGAAGAGGCGCTTCATACAATTATAATAGAACTTCACTTATGGTAAGTTCGTTTAATTATTTAATTGTATTCTGCGCCTCTTCTTCATGATCAAATTGTAGATGTTTAACGTAATTACGGCGATAAAAGAAAATTAATTAATTTAATAATTTTCTTACAATTTTTTATTCTAGGAAGAATGTAATAAACGTGAAAGTTATAACATTAGGATCTTTTAAAGATAATATTTTTGATTTTAAGGAAAAAGAAACGAAACATGAAATTGAATTATTTTTGGGGTTCGAGAATGGATTTAGCGAATCTTTTGTTCTATCTAAATAATTTTCCAAGGTTGTTGCAGCGCAAATTTTTATATTTTTCTTGAGTTTTATTATTATTTGGACGTAAATCCTTGGACACTGTAGCCAAAGTCTTGGCAGATTTCAAGATCCCTTCAAGTTTATTGCTGAATAGAAACTCATCGATTTCAGTGTTAGCCAAGGTTTCTTTCAAATTTGGATTAATATTTGCAATGATGAGGCTTCTTCTGATGACTGATTCATCATGTTGCAGATCAGCTAAAAGACTGCTGGCGTCTCCCAAGCATTCTAGGACAGACATGTCCATTTCCTTTTTATTGAGAAGTATCGTCATTGCTTTTCCTATGGCTGCTAAACATAATGTAATTTTTTCTTGTTTAAGAACGATTCTTGAATCTCTAGTTTGCACTGAATCTTGAACATTGGTTTTGATTTCTGGATTCAGGGTAGGAGGTTCGCTTAATAAGCAGTTTTCTGGAACGAAATATTTTTTGAAAGTGTTCTCTTTATCGTCTTTCGGTAGACCTTTTTTCAAAATATCTTCCCAGCGAAGCGCAACCTCGGATTGGATAGAGGTTGATCGTATTTTTTCTTCATATACTCGTTTTCCTATAACGTTTTTCAAGTCCTCACTCAAGCCTTTTTCCTGTTCCGTATTATTGACAGAATCGTCTATTTGGGAATCATCAGGTTTTTTAGGTAAGCTGGTTGATCTGCTTCGTTCTCTTTGCTGATTTACGCTGCTACGAGCTGTGAAAGTTAAAGATATAAACTAATTTTTGTTCTTCAATTTTTAGCTTTATTTATTTTTATTTTTTAATTTTTTATTTATTTTTCAGGTTAGGCCTTTTATTTCTTAGGGTTAGAGCCCTCTTTATTTTTTAACAAAATTGTAATTTTTATTTTACAAAATTAATTTTTGTTAAAATTATTTTTACATATTTTTCAGGTTAGACCTTTTATTTTTTGAAAATGTTTTTTAGGGTTAGAGCCCTGTGAAGAAAAAACAGACATTCATTTTTCAAGTTGAAAAATGTTTGTGTTGTTACCATGGTTACGAGGAAATGCGTTTTGGTTAGGACCTGCGCATTATACTCGTTTCTCAAAATTTTGGGTTAGAGCCCAGAAATCGAGAATTAAAACATTTCAATATTTTATTCATAAGTAAAGTAACTTATATATTGCGTAAAAAGGTTAGAGCCTTCGCAAATTTACTTACAAGAATATCTTGAACTCTCTGAATCACTTAAATATGAACTGCTTTTCCTACGATGACGTTTTTCTCTCTTTTTTATCTTCTTTTTTAATTTTTTC